CCAATCGGGGCGTTCATCTTTCCACAATTCGTGGCCACAGGACTCGATGAACCCACTTCATCGTCAAGCGTCGGCCGGACCCCGGGGTGCTAGGGCTGTGCTACATTCGATCTCGAATTAGCGCAAACTTAGCGCACCGAAGCACTACCGGGCGTTTGACCTCCCCTTTCTTCGTTCACAGAGGGGAGATTGTGTATGGTCGTGCAGAGTTTTTTTTTTTTTTTTTTTTTTTTTTGTCGGGTGATTTTTCGTGTGTTCGAGAAGAGGCCGAGAGAGACGGGCCTGGGGCATACTCACTGTAGGACTTTTTCCACTTCCCTGTCGACGTAATTGCAGTCAGGTGCGTCCAGGCCGTGTCGGAAAAGCGGTTATATGCGATCCATTGTGAGTATGCCCTTCTGGTGCTGCGCCTTGCATCTCCTCCTGCCCGAAGTCTACGCTGTGAGGTTGTCGATGCCTGACCATGTTGGTCGATGCCTGAGCATGTTGGTACGCTGGACACGTCTTTCAACAGCTGCGATTCCCTGTCAAGAGAAGGGACGCTGGACCCGGTTTCCAGCAGGTGCTGCTCACAAATAGACCGGAGCCATCTGAGAGGAGGTACCACAGAGGGCTGCTCGAAGTGCAGTTGCAAACTGTATCTTGCCTCATAGTGCAATTATAATTTATAACTCGTTTTTGTGACTCTACTGATGTTACCATTTTTTCTCCCTTTTTCTTTGACCATGTTTTAGAGAAGCTGGATTTGTGTTACTGCAGCGCGCATGACGCATGGCGGTTCTTTTCTTGATAAGGGAAAACGTCAAAGACATGAACTGCAGAGGTCTGGACACGTATTAGTACGTTAGGCTACATGAAGTAACGAGTGAGACATGTTCATCGGTTTGCTACAAAAAAAATAACGAATGTGCTTTGCCGCCTTCCATGGGCAGATGCAGTCGTTTCCTTTTCGTTTCGTGTGCCGCGTTTCGAGGCCCACAGAGAAGATTAGGGCCTAGTTTCACTACTGGCCATCCGCCCCTGTTTGTGGTGGATGTGTGGAGAGAAAGAAAGTAGAATCGTGTCTAACTGGAGTCCTGGTTGCACTTACTCGCCACTATCTTTCTTCTACAGAAAAGTCAAATTTTTTTTGTCTGCCTGATCTCCACTAGTGAAGTCGGGAACTAGGCCACGAGGATGTCCCTCCGCAAATTTTTTGTCTGCCTGATCTCCACTTGTGGAGAGGCCACGAGGATGACCCTCCGCAAAATAGCAGTAGAGAGTCGGGTTGAGAGTCGGGAACTTGCCACACCCTGTCGCGGACTGAAAAAGAAATGTCTGCAAAAGTTTTGACTTGGTAGGGGGGATTGACAAAGGAAACTCGGCAAAAGTTTGTCGAGTGAGTGCAACCAGGCGCCTACCTCCCGAACTTGGCGTATGGAGAGTAGTGAAACCAGGCTCCTACTGGCCAAACTTGGAGTACGAAGAGTAGTGCAATCAGGAGGCCATTAGAATGGGCCCTGCCCTTGGTGTGCGAAGTGTGATGCTTTTATCAAAGACAGTCCGTTAAAATTATTGGAAGGATACAGAGAGATTAGTATGTCTCCTGGGCAAGGATGACAAGAGTAAGTAAATGATCTAATGACGGTCAGTGCCAAATCTGAAAACTCGTCTCATCACAGGCATCAGATTTGGACGCTTTCCTGCTAATACTGTTTGCAAGGAAGAAAGTCATTGGCCTGTCAGATGTCGGAATGTAGGCATCTATACTTGCTGCATCTCTTATCTGTTGAAGACTTGAAGTTTGTATTGGTGTTTTTTCGTCTTTAAATTTCCTGCTTTTCACATGTTTTCTCTAGCTTTCAGTTCTATTTGTGATTTAAGGGAAAACCAGGGCGCAGTCAAGGTTTTCGGTTTTCAATGCGTTTCAGTCACGGTTTTGTGAATTTTACTCCAAAGCGTGGAATATTGTGAATGTATAGCCGAAAGGGCAAAGTAGAACAGCAGGCACAGTACTGTGAGACTGTGGTGGTGGGCTGCTCCCTGCAAACATTTCTTTGCTCATGAGTGCCCTTGTATATCCGAACGTGCCGGGGGACTGCCTTCCGAAATACCCCGCAAAGTTGAGCCGTGAAAAAACAGCATATCGATACACCGGAAGGAAAGAAAAACTTGTGAACTGGCCCGTGGGCTAACTCAGTTGGTACACCCATGAACTTCTGAAATACAGACCTGAGTTCGAATCCCGATTGGCTCCGATGGTAGACATAACTCCGAAATACCTGGGGCCAGTTAGTTTTTCGAAGATGATACCCTAAGGCTGTCAACAAGAGAATAATAGAGAAAGAGGTACGACTTGTCCTTCCGGACATCTACTACCTTCTGCTCCCGAGTGTACGGTCGTTATGGCTTTATTTTGGTAATTTCTAGTGTAGATACAGCAATAATGACAGTACGTTGTAATTGGGTGAGCAAGGTAGAATTGGAACGATACACAGAAGATTAGCATGATAGGGAAAATGGTCCAAAGTTTTTATAAAATAAAGAAGTGAGGAAGGGAGGAAGAGACTATATGGGACGCTGGACCCGGTTTCCAGCTTAGTGGTCATGTTCTGATGTTTTCATGTTCCAAATCATGTGCATTCGTCAGGGACACGGGGCCCGGTTACCAGCACGTGATGATCCCCACGACTAGATTGGAGCAAATGTACGTAATCTATACAATGTCAACAAGAGCTGATATGGGACGCTGGACCCGGTTTCCAGCTTAGTGGTCAAATTTCTGATATCTTCATGTTCCAAATCATGTGCATTCGTAAGGGACACGGGGCCCGGTTCCCAGCACGTGATGATCCCCACGACTAGATTGGAGCAAAGTTGAGGTACGTAATCTAAGCAAAGTTGAGGTACGTAATCTATACAATGTCAACAATGTATTTGTCGCCTCGGTCTCATACGCACAAAATTCTTAATGATGGACATCTCGCGTTTCAAGGTCTGAACGAGCACAAACTAACGGGGTGCAATTCTCAGTCAGCAATTCACGAAATAACAGGTCCCAGGATCAAAACCCTTTAAATGCCGATATCAGCTGTTAGAACAAGCCGCTGGTGTACCTGGTTACCCCCTAACCTATACTACTACGCCTTCGCTGAGCCCCTATAGACTTCGTCACCCTTCAGCATCTACCGTCCTTTTCGCCTAATGTGGCAGTATGCAAGTGCCTGCTGCGGTCGCTTGCGCAGCAGTATTGGAGTTGGCAGCTATAAGGGCTTTAGTCATGCTGAATAGCACTCGGACGGCCCCTGCACAGTCCTTCGGGACATCCGTTAAAATGGGAAGGATACAGAGAGAGAAGATTAGCATGGCCCCTGCGCAAGGATGACACACATAAATCGAGAAATGGACGGCCACTGCACAGTTCATTTTTTTAAGGTAGATTAGCTAGCTCTCCGATGGTCCCCTCTGTAACAGGGCAAAATCTACAGTGCCCAGGCGCGGTTGACGTTCGGTTCGAGGGGTACTGTAATTATCATCCTGACAGGGGCTTTGTTGATTTTAGGCTCGGGGAAATGCATCTTTTGGTGTGTCAAAATAGCTCCGAATGGAATGTATTTTAAATGTAGTGCGAGTGCCAGGCATCCACTGTTTCTTTCATCCTTTTTTGAAAACGGAGCACTTTGAGATTGCCTGTTGTGGAGGTTTCAAGTGTTTGTGCTGGCTTGGGCAACCTTTGCTGTGTGATATGTGGGAACAAAGTTCAACAAACGATCAGGGATGAGAGGAACTGGAAGAGCATTCACACGTGTGCTTATTTGCGGACAGTTTTTAATCGAGTTCGTTTTTCAGTGAGTTGTTTTCTGAACGCATGTCTTTCTTTTTCTTTTTCCAGTTCGGTCGTATGTTAACTGAAATCGGGTGATGCATGTTGTCCCATCCCCTTAATTGTGAGAGGTAGCTGAGGTTGCAGGGGTAGGTAAGTAGTGAAAGGTGAAATTGAGAGAAGCATATAGTTTATTTATTAAAAAAAAAATGTATGGGGCGATGGGCTAATTGGCCAGGGTCCGGGAATGACCGGGCGAGGACACCCATGTCTGATGGCGCTGTTCTAACTGGCCGGCTCCTCTCTCGCTTTACCTTACGCTGCAATGGCCTGTGTGTGTGTCAATCGGATGATATGAGGATTGCGTCCTGTCGTCCGAACAAAGGGGCATCTGTATGTGGCGGTTGTAATTCCAAACGACAAGTTGTTTTCGCAAGGCCCAACGGTGGTTCTTTGATAAACCACAAGTAACGCGAAGTGTGCTCTTTCTCAAGATACTGGAGATGCTGGTTTTCTCATCATGCACGAAGCACTGCGAATGGGAATCTGGTGCTCAACCATTATGACCTGGTTATATTTCTTCATGAGGAATGGAGCAAACAATAGATCTGGAGCAACTAGATGGCTGCCGAGTAGGGCTGCTCTTATTACCGTCCCCTACCCACCCTAAATTTGAATGTATACAAGCTATATTTCCGGCCAGATACGGCCAAAATGAGGGTGCGTTGTGTTCGGGGGAAGACAACCAACAAAAGACCGTAAAAGGGAGTACTCTAGGAAGATGGGCATATATTCTTCTCTCTTGAACGGACCATCTCCTCTATGTTCTCCACTTAGGAAACTGGAGACCATCTCCTCATGCTTGTATGTAGGGTACCATAGGCCGCACGTTATGTCATACCCCGACCAGATGTCCATCTTTTTACCACTCAGCACGAGATTCAGGGTGGGTGGATTTTAATGTATGGGCCATGCATCATCTTTGTGCATCATTCAGAATTGGCCGTGCTACAATTCTGTTTCTGAAGGTGCTTTTTTTAAGGAGGTGGCTTGCTTTATGTAAGTTGGGAATGGCACATGGTCATTGTACGTCCAAGAATGACAAGGGAGGGATTTTTGGAGAGCGGTCGAGACAAATGCCAACCCACTTGTGGATTGTGATTGCTTGTCTTTGTTGTACTCGTTTGCGTCTTTACAGGACGAGAATCGCTACACGGCGAGCCGGGGATCACATCTTCAGCTAAAGCGTGCTGAGAGAGCCAGGGCTATGGTTGGGAAGATCCCACGTAAGTGTCACTAACTGTAGTCGCCTGGGTGTTGAAGTTATTGGAAGCATGCTATGTCGGTTCCCAAGGAGTGTGTTGTGGTTCATGTGGGAAAGAGAACATGTTGGTCGCGTCTGCTCTTGGGATGGTGTGATAACCTTGTACGTTTGAGCTGTGGCCGAGTTGGCGTCACCTGACAGATCTGCTTCTGACGGCTTTTTCCTTCTTTCACTCTTCGAGAGTGGAGTCTCTATTGCGGATCACATTCCGATGAGAAAGACACTGATCTGCGGCCTTCTTTTGTGTAGCCCTCTCTCTTTATGGCAGTCGTTTCCTTTTATTCAGAGAAATAGTTTGCTGTCGCTCTTAAAAATGAATCATCAAAGATAGGGTCCCTTTTTCTATTCCGACTCTTCCAATTTTCTCCTCATTCCTGTTATCATTCCATGTGCCGGTTTTTTTTTTTTGGTTGGCACTATCCCTTGCCCACATGTTAGGGATCGCGACTGGCCTTTTATTTTATTTGATTTTAGCCGAATCGTGAGTACGTCTCTGAAGTCCTACCTGGCCCATAGAGCCACTACTATGAAAGTTGTGCTGACACCAACAGTGTCAAGACTCGGTCGGGTACGTCTCTGAAGACCTACCTGGCCAATGGAGCCACTACTATGAAAGTTGTGCTGATACCAATAGGGTCAAGACTCGGTCGGGTAAGGTGGTGGCGGGGTATTGTACGTAAGTCCAGGAATCCAGGGGGCGACCGAAGGCTGGTGCCCATTCCCATCCTCCCCATTCGCAGACCCTACCCGCTCCCATCCTGACCCCTCCTGCTGCCTGCCATACCAGCATGGTTCGACCAGGGTGTGACGCGGGAGAGAGGACTGGCCTTTTTAACTTCCTTCTGGAGAAAAGATGCATCTGTGGTGGCCAGTTGCCTTGCGTTATGTGAAGGGTTTGGACTTCGAACACAGACAATTGTGCAGTAAATTTCCTCAAGGGAGTTTGGGCCTGGTCTCCAGCACGTGTTGCTCCCTATGAATACATTGGAGCATTGTCACAACTTGTAAAAAAAAAAAGTAAAAGACCAAGTTTGAAAGTAGCGCTAATTCCATAGGATGCTTGGATCGGGCATGTTGTTAGTAAACATGTTATGTCTGAGTCAATTGTGCCAAGCCTTAAAAAAAAAAAAACGCCCCCTGGTTGCTAGAGGTACTGATAAGAGCAGAGGCCGCTAGTGCCTGGAGGAGGCGACTCCAGTGTATTGGTGGGGAGCGCCACCTGCTTGAAAACGGGTCCAGCGTCCCATGATCAACAATTGAGCATGTCTGAGAGCAATAGTGTGTGTGGCCTACCGTGGATTTGCTCTTACTACCGTGGCTTTGCACTTACTTTGTTGCCGGCAGCCTGGCATCCAGGCATTAGGCAGGTAAATCTTCAGGTAATGGAAATGTTCAGATTGGTAGTACTTGGTGTATATCATCCAGGCATTAGGCAGGTATACCCTGCACGTGTGATTATTTGCATGAGCGGTCTTTTCAATTGATTGTCTTAGTCCGTTCTGATGTATGATTGTGATGTTTTGCCTTGTGGTCTTCACAGAATGGGTTGAGAATTTGACGAAGGCCGTAAAGCAATGGGAAGAGGATCATAGCCGAGTCTTCCTTTACGATGGTGTAAGTCCGTTCTCCCCTATGTGCATGCTCCTTCCGATCTATAAATGTAAGCATGTCTATCAAACCATGTCGTTACCTATTTTGTGATTGTTAACGCATATATCTCTACCACATACAACCAATATTCGATGGGAGTACTTCACGAAATCAACGTATGATCGCAGTAGCAAACTTCCAAGGTTCAGATGCTTATCCATCTGTGCTGCCGGTTGACGTGTACCCCATCTGTGCTGCAGGTTGGTACTTTCCCTGTCTCTGACACTGATTCGTCTGTGGAAGTTATTGGAGTCTTGTCTTACTCAGGCATCTATGGCAGTATTCTGTTAACAATTACGACTAGCTTAACCAATCGACTTGACAACGGAGGCAATTGTTTGTTTGCTTTAAGGAATAGATACTTTCCCTGTTTGTGGCAGGAGTGCACACTGGCACTCGCTCCACTACGCTCGACGTGCACAAAAGACGAAAAATATAGAGGTGCGTCTTTCCAAGTTCTACCGGACGATTCATTCTCATTTTGCACATTTCGAGAGTAGTGGAGCCAGGCCCGCTGTCTCGTTTGCCGAAGTTTTTGGAGTGTCGGCTTACTCTGGCATGTATGCCTTTTTTCTGTGAGCGGTTACGAGTCAGTTTAAGCAATCAATCGAACAACCAAATCAATTGTTTGTTTGCCTTTAAAACAATACTTTACCTGTTTCTGGCAAGAGCGTGCACCGATTTTTCGTCTGTAGAAGTTTTTAGTGTCTTTTGCTTACTCAGGGAGGGATTGATGGCATCCTTCTGTTAAGGGTAACGAGTCAGTTTAAGCAATCAACTGAACAACCGAGTCAATCGTTTGCTGTCGCGCCTCTTGCTTGGTTGTGCAGGAGAGAGTTCTCAATATGATGGAAGACTATCGTAACAAAGTCCGCACCTTAGAGGCAGAGAAAAGGCGGCTTCGGGTAAGTACTGCGGGATATTGTGATCTACCAGAAATGGCAGACATTATTAACCGTAAAACAGTGTTTGTTCTGGTCTCTGACTGTCGTGAGACATGTCAGTGTTTCTGTTGCCTTGTGATCCTTTGTTTCATACGCAGTACTCACTGCAAGGTGTTGCTTTTAGCTCATTGGTTTACCAGATCTTACTTACCTCGGCTGCGACCGACCCAAGCTCTTCGCCACCCAAGTGCGACCGAATTGACCATGTTTGCATACAGTTTCATTTGTGCTCTGTTGTTCTTGTGCGACTGCGGTGTACATTGTTTGTTGAACGTATTTTGATGTAAGTTGTTTTTGTCCTGCAACCTCTTGAACATGCTCGAGCCTCTCGCTGGAAGCTGCTGGATTTACACTGGTCTTTTGACTGCGCCTGTTTCACGACCACTGTGCAATGTTACGTGTGAGGTGCTTTCAGATGTTGCTGACCGCTACAGGATTCCCCCGCTGTCGATGGGCATATGCCAGATCTTTTTGAGATGATACTACCGTCTTCCCCTGAGTATCTTGACTGTATCGGACCAGAAATCTAGCTTGTATACATTCATAATGAGGGTGCTTGTGTTGTCTACAGTCATCAAACCATTGTCAGTGGACAGTCAATCGGACAACGTCATTCAGTAGATGATTTCTAACACTGAGCACTCGGTATGAGCACTTGGTTAACCGTTAAGCCACGACAGCAACACGTTTCCTTGTCCACATGCCAGCAACACGTTTCCTTGTCCACATTCCTGGTGAAAGAGATGAATTGCTAGTGGAATTTGAAAGGATTCACGTTCATTGCCTGCTGGGACTCGATTTCAGACCCTATAACAAATTGCTTGTATTCAGGTCTGTCAGTTGCGAACCCATATGGTTTGCACATGCTTCTTTCATGAAATGCTTTTGGAAGTTTCGGTCCGTTCTTGCTCTGCTTTGAATTGTCCGTTTGCCCTTCTCTTCGCTCGTATCTGCCTGCTATCCGTCAAGTCTCTTCGTGCTTCAGGGAGTGAGGTTGGACCATTCCGGTCCTGGTTGTTTGCTTCAGGGAGTGAACTTGGGTTAGTCTTGTTTCTGGGTTCAGTGTGCGGTCGTTGGCGTTGAGATATCATCTTTGCATTGACCGACCTCAGCGAAATTCAGAGTTGTTAACACCTCTTTGATTCCAGGAGAATTGTAACTCAGGTATGCGTTTCAACAGTTCATGGGTTTACCAACTGAGAGTCGAACCTGTTGGTGGGTACGTGATCAACTTGACCCCCTGGACTTTGTAGGCGGTGAACTTGGTCTGAGTTCGTCCACTTCATTTGGTCTGGAGGTGGGAAAGACTGCTCTTCACACGCTGTGGACGTCCCGCAGGAGGCAAAACACTGTATAGCTAAAGCGATGAAGTTGTCTGTGGTTGTGAAGGGCATCAGCCTAACCCCTGTGGCTTGTGGCATATGCAGTTGGTCGGATCGTTGCGGATTTTGCTTTGCTGTTTGTATCGAGTAAAAAAGGAGAGGGTTGGCTTGCAGGTCGAGCGTTTGTTTGACCAGGGAATGACCTGACTGATTGACTTGTCAGCTTGGCGTTGCTTCTACACCAAAAAAAACTCCAACAGGATCAGAAGAAGCTTCAAGAGGCGCAGGCAACAGAACAGGAGATGCTCTTCGGAACTTCAAGTCCGAACCGCTCATTGCAAAAGCAAAAGAGAATTCAACGTGCAGGCTCAGTAGGGAGCCAAGCAGGTCGAAGGCTCTCCATGGGAGGGGCAATGCTTCTAACATCCCCACACTCCCTCGACGCCGGCAACTCGATTAGGAACCTGGGGATTGGGGTGTGTGGAGGGGGCAGTGCAGTGTTAGGTGCCCAGACCCCAGCTCGGCCAGGGACAGCTGGTAGGGAGGGGAGGAGTACTACACCAGCATCGCGAGCGAGACCAGTTGCCCCCGTCAATTATGTTGCGCTGGCTAATAATCCGCCGCCGGCTACTTTTGTGCAGTCCGCGGCCGCTGATTCAATTGCATCCGGAAATGGTGTAGCGGGGAAGAAAATCGGTGGTCGAGGCGAGCGTGGAATGTCCATGACTCCGGTTGCATTGAATCGGCTTTTTTCTGAGGATGGGGAGGTGCCATCTCCGCGACGGCTGCCTCTCACCTCTTACAACATTCATGTGGATGAAAACGGGGTGACTGCAGGGGGGTTGCTAATCAACGGTGGAGGTTCCTTGCTAGGTAACAGCCCGAGCAAGGGCTCATCTTTGAAGATAGACGGTTCCAACGTTATTTCTGTCTCACCAAGTTCGGCTTTGGCAGGGGAGAACAACCCATCAGCAATCTCATCACGGCTTGTGGAAGATCGGAAGACCACGTTGGCAGCTCATGCCGATAGCAGGCATCATAGTGTAAACTGGTATGGGGGAGTCAATTAGGTTTATCTTGTGCCCTCCCTGTACCTACTCGATGGGCATGAAGCTCGCGGAGGAGAGGATGGCCTGCGTATTGTGCTGCTGAGCGCGTGCTGCGATCAGGATAGAATAGATGGTTTGCGACTGAGGCGAGGACCCTTCGGCGATCAGTTTACCTGGGTGTACATCTCTAATTGTCTAAGCGATCACTCCGTAAATCGTTTCTGCATAGGAGGAACAAGGAGACTACCCCGGTTTTGCCCGTCGCTTTATTGCCCAGTCACACGACGTTAATCTCCTCAGGTATAGTCAACATGACATGCAGTGGTTGCTTGAGGAGCTACGCAGGGCGCCTTTCTGACTGGTTGTGAAGGCGGAGCTGCTAATACAGTGGCACTCGCACTACTCCCTGCTTGAAGTAATCTCTCTCTCTCTCTCTCTCTCTCTCTCTCTCTCTCTCTCTCTCTCTCTCTCTCTCTCTCTCTCTCTCTCTCTCTCTCTCTCTTACACGAGAGCAAATGTGGGAGGATTCTCGCAGGTGCAGCACACTGTGTGGAGGATGATAAGCATGATACCCTTACTGAATGACTCAGCTTGGTTCGCTCTAGAATTGTGGGGGCATATCTGCTGATTGTCATCATGCTCGACCGATGAAGACAGGGGACAGTGGCAATTGATGGTGGTCAGCCGTTGTTTTTTTCTTCATTTGGCCGGATTGACCATTTTCATGTTGTCCATGGCATCCGACAGGATATATCCATAGCAGACTGTATCGATGGATTGGTGGCACACCATTGCGTGGAGTCGAGTAACAAGCAGTGTGCTTGCGGACCAAGTGCTAAAGTGTACAAGGCGTCTTTTCTGATGATGGTGGGAAGCCTTATGCCTCTTCTTGATTTCGAAATTAAAATCGGTCAGGAGCTGGCGTATAGAGATATGCTTGCGAATGTTGGTTATCATGTGCTCTTTTGCTCTCATCGTTTAGCTCATCTTCAGAATGTGGATCTGTAACGAGGACTAGAGAGGGGAGTCTTCCTCTTGTCTAAGGTGAAACCGGACATTTTCTGGCAGATTGTGCATGGCGGTCTTTTGTCTAGCCAAGCAAACTGCGAATACAAGACCTTGTAGTGTCTAGCAGCATAGTATCCTCTTCAGGCTTCTGGATCCAGGAATGGACCATTGTCATCCGGCTGTTTTCTTCCGAGCTGGAGCTACGGCTGCCTTCGAGTGAGTAGAGACGAGCACAGCAGATCTCCGGGCCTCTCCCCCCGTCGTGAACCACCTGCTTCTTCTACTGTACTATGTAGTATGCGTATGTCAGTGCTGGCCTTTAACGGCCCTTTTGTACATAACCTTGTTGGACGATGCCGTTCGGGAGAGGGAAGATGTGTTCAGTGGCCGGCCTTGGAAGCGTGCCTTCGTCTAGAGAGGTCATGGGCATGGCATGTCTCGTGTTGACAGCCGTGGAGGGATGGCCGCATTACAGACGCTTGCAGTGTATTCCCTCCTCGAGGGTGGTTACGGTATTTTGAATCAGCGCTCGTGGCAGCCCTAATTGAATCACCCTAGGGAATGATAGTCAACTTGTCAAGTGATTTGCTCAGGACAAGTCCTGCCAGGAGAGTCACTTGATGTAAGTGCCACTCTGTTTGTTGTCGTCAATGAGTGTAAGATGATATGAGGGGAATGCACTGAGCGGGAGAGAGGAGGGGGGGGCAGAAAGAGGGAGGGAGGGAGTGAAAGAGAGGGGGGAGGAGGGAGAGGTAGGTAGGGAGCAGTCCAAGGGAGAAAGGTAGCGAGAGAGGGGATGGGGAAGGCAGGGGGGGGGTAGTCCAAGGGAGAAAGACAGAGGGGGGGGGGGGAGGTAGAGGTAGGGAGGGAGAGAGAGAGGGGGTGGGGAGGAGAGTGGGGGACGGAGGGAGCAGTCCAAGGGAGAAAGGGAGAGAGAGAGGGGGTGGGGAGGAGAGTGGGGGATGGAGGGAGCAGTTCAAGGACAACTATGCCATTCGTTTTTGTCTGTGGCGAGCCCATTTTCTTGACAAGTGGCTGGTGAATTACCGTGGCAATATGTTGAGAGAACTTGTGTGAGTGGTGGTGAGAAAGAGAGGGGGGGAGGGAGGGAGGGATGGAGGGAGAGAAGAGGGGAAGTGTAGGCTCCGTGCTATTGTGGTTGATTCGGTAGAGGTCAATACCTGCTTCCGGGCGTTACGGGGTGTCATTGAGTACCGAGAACCCATTCAGTTGGGCTGCGATTGTGCGCATGGCAAGGTAACCAGGGTGATGGTCCGAAGCAGACCTGTTGGAAGAGTACGTGAGTTCGGAGGAGGAAGTGTTGGACTGAAGGGATTCTGTATTCGTGCACTGATGTGCACAATGTTCGGATTCAGAAACAACATTTCTTGTGTGATTTTGAAGCACTGATTCGTCAGGTAGTGTTTGCCTATATGACAGGCGTGTATCGATCGTTGATTAGTACTAACCCTAGTAGCAGAGATGTAGGTCGATTATTTGGGATCTGAGATTCAATCAGGGACGGATGACTTGGCATCAGACGGTGGGAGAATAAGGGAAGCCCTCCCATCTGCACACACGTCATCTCCATTTTTTTCGAGTGTTGTAATGGTGCACCGATGTGCATGTTCTTCTCGAGTAAAACTAAGATTCAATATTTGTTTGCATGTTTTTCTCGATTAAAAGCATTTTTTTCTGCGCATGTGACGTCTACAAAATCAACCACAATAGCGCGGGGGATACTTCCCGTCCTCTCTCGCTCCCTCCCCTCCCTCCCCCCTTCTCTCCCTTTCTCACCACCCTCCACACAAGTTCTCTAAAACATATTGCCACGGTAACTCACCAGCCACTTGTAAAGAAAATGGGCTCGTCACAGACATAAACGAATGGCATAGTCGTCCTCGAACTGCTCACAAACCTGTTTCATTGCGTTTACGACGGCGAGCTTTCTGTGTCTGTGTGTGTGTGTGTGTGGGTATTCACTCTGCAACGACGACCTACAAGACCCCTGAAGAGGGCTGGGCTTGCGGACCAGGCAAAACATGTCGGGTCCATGCCGCATGTATTTTTCTGTAATATCTTCAATGTCGCGTCCAGGATTTCCTTTTTGCGTATCGTCTACTTTCTCACTCACCTCTTCTTCTCTTCTCTTCTCTCTCCTCTTTCTTCTCTAATTAATGTTGGTCTTGGTTGATTCGATTGCTGATGGCTGATGTGTTTCACTTTCACTGGAGTTAGCTCTGTATCAGACTACAAGGACCCCAAACTCTCTCTTCATTCCATCCACAAATCATCCACTAACCATCCGTAAAACAGAAAGTAGAAAAGCGATATAATAGAAGAGGTAAGGCTGGCCACGTTTGTGTGGTTAAGCGAAGCGCAAAGTGTGCACACAGCCGTTGGCCAGCTAAGCTGTATAACTTGAACAGATATAGATATTTACCTATCTGTAAAAGGATGGAAGGCAGCTGCACAACTCGAACAAATATAAATATTTACCTATCTGTAAAAGGATGGAGGGCATAAAGCAAAATACATAACAAGCAACAACCACACTGAATACAAAAAAAAAAATATTTGCGTCACAACACAAGGCTCACAATAACAAGAAAGCGTGGACCACGCCCGCAATTTATGTGTTTGGCAGGAACTAAGGTGAGGTTCCTGTGTTGTGTGCGCATGTGTGCATGAATGATGGTTTKTYTTKTKTTTTTTTTTTTTTTTTTTTTKTTTGTTTGTTTGAAAACTCCGGCTCATGGCACTAGACAGGGTGATAAGACCATCCCCCCCTAGTGTACCCGTTTGCCRRGCGCTCCAGTCTATTGGTGGGGATCTTGAACTGCTGGAGAAGGGGTCCAGCGTCACATGTGTACATCTGCAAAAGTCACAACTGCTGGAAACCAGGTCCAGTGTCCCAGCATACATCAAGTATTCAGTGTCGGGTGACGACCTGCCAGCATTGTTTACCCTGGTCCTCAGGGGAATAACTGAGCAGGAGATTATGAGGGAGACATGCAGGGGGGGATCGGGCAAAGGGAGGTCACATCATCCCTACTGCAACTCATGATGAAGTTTTTCAGCTGTGAAAGTGATATCAAGTGAAATCAAAAGGACAGCGAAAGGGAATAGGGAATGGGAGTGGTGAGGCAAGGGGATCCTTGCTCCAGGTGGCGATAGGTCAGTTCCATCAGTGTATGGCCAGGGAGGGAAAAGGGATCTGGGAAGTCTGTGGGAAGGGGGGGGGGGGGGGGGGGGGGTGGGGGGGGGGGGGGGGGGGGGGGGGGGGGGGGGGGGGGGGGGGGGGGGGGGGGGGGGGGGGGGGGGGGGGGGGGGGGGGGGGGGGGGGGGGGGGGGGTTGGTGGTATCATCAGGGGCCAGGGTCCAATCGTTAAAACATAGCCGGTAATTCCAAGCGGTGGTGGTTCTCCAGGTGCCAGCCATCCCATTGGACCCTTGGTATCCTTCCCCCTCGTTCCCCTCCTAGCCAATCCATGCAGAACTCATTTAGGTGGCAGGTGATGTCCATGGAGCCCTGATTGCTGTTTCAATTATATCTTTGATTCTCTCTCCTATTTCACCCCTCGGCGCGTGTGCACCCTCGATGGTCATTGTGCAGCGGTGCCTCCAGAGCTCACAGCAACGCTTTCCTTCCAATAGAGAAGAGGTTGGATGTGAAGACTGATGCTTGGGTTGCGTCCAGTGTCTACAGATGAATGCTCTGCAATCCCATGGCCACTCCGCATCTAAGGCCACCCAGATTCGTGCCCACCATTGCCAGGTAAGAATTGATGACGGACAGGACATTGCGAGAAAAGGTATTGTTTCGTTTACCTTCCAGGATGGGATCTGCGAACTCCACTCCAGAACGGACAGCTCGGGTCTGAAGGCTACCAAGGAGTCCCCCTCCTTCAGCACTCTCACCCTCAGCTGTAGATTGCTGTCTTAGGCAGCCAAAAGTCCTCGTCGGGTGTCCCTTGTACCAGCCGGTTCTGGGAGTTTTTATAGAACAGGTTTACCATTACTTCAGCCTGGCTGGCCATCAGCACCTCACCGGTGCTGGCCTCGTTTCCTTCTATTGCCACCCAATCCCCCTCCAAAATCACTGGACCACGCCACAAAATCTGCAGCCATGCCAAGGGGAGGGAGAAGATCATTTCCTTGAGCTTCTAAGTTGGGCTTCTGTTATCCAATCATTGTGTGTGCTGTCCCATATGTGTTCCACCTTGTGGACTCCCTTCCTGATCCAAAAGTCCCATGGCCCCCACCAAGCTTGAGAAGACTCCCCTTATCCAGCGATTGCCGAATAAGGGTTGGCGGAGAACCTCCTCCCACCTACTAGATGGCGGTCTATCCAGAAGAGGCAGCCACCACCAATCTTGGATCAATTGGATCCAAAAGTTGTCATTTTTCAAGTTTGCACGAGCCGCTGAGCAGTTTGACTGCGTGGCGGGCCGCGAAGAGGGCCTAGGGACTGCCCAAAACGCAACGTCCAACCAAACAAGGGGATGTGTGGAGGCTGGATTTGGGGGCAAGTCTTGCAATTTGTTCCAGTGCCAGGGGTTCCCATGGGAAGTCTGGTCTGCAGATTAGTCTTTTCAGCCACTGTAGGGTCAGGGAATTGTCTGGGTGTCGGGGTCAAGGATCCCCAGGCCGCCTTGGAGTTTGGGCTGAAATATTATTGCCTCCCAAGCGACCCAGCTGATCGCATGCTGGGTTTCCTGGTTGCCTCGCCACAAATAGGCTGCTACCCGCTGTCTTAGGGATCTGGAGGCTTCGGGGGACAGAGACCAAAGAGCAGACTTGTACCAAAGGGACGTTAGCGCCACGTTGTAGATGACCAGAGCCCTGCCAAAAAGTGAAGTGTTCTTGTCTGCCCATGAGGTGAGCTTTAGGAGTACAGTGTCCATTTGCCATTTGTCATTACACACAGGTTTTCCTGCTGCCAACAGCTGGATCCCCTGGACCCGGACCGGGGCTTCCAGAGGGAGCCAAGTGACCCCCCTGGTCGTTCTTGTGGCCTGCCGCCATCATGATGCACCCACCACCCCAGGGGAGGCCTCGATCATCAAATCAAATTGTCGGCAAAGGAGCACGCGTGCATTGCGTCCTAGGGTTTACTGAAAAGCACAGGGTTTTACTGGCCCAGTCACCTGTGCTTTTCAGTAATGATTTCCACGTGTGCTTTTTGGAAGTTGTCTGGATCCTATGAATGTCCTTATTGGTCCTCAAGTTTGCCGTCAATGCTTCCATAACCACGAGGAAATGGTGAGGGGTCAAGGGGCCGCCCTGTCTGACCAAACGCTGCATCATGATGCATCCACCACCCCAGGGTTTTATTGCCCCAATTAATATCAGACAGAGAACAGAAACCGCTCATCAGAGTCTTGATCTCTTCCATGTTCTGATGGGAGGCCACGATCATCAAAGTCAAATGGTCGGCGAACAAGGAGCACACTTGCATTGAGTCCTGAGGGATGAAATTTTGTCTGGATCCTACAGATGTCCTTATTGGTCCTCAAGTTTGTGATCAACGCTTCCATAACCACAACGAAAAGGTAAGGGGCCAGGGGACTGCCCTGTTGGACCGGACGCTGCAGGGGGAATTCTGGTGCCAAGTGTCCATTAATTTGCACATTTGTGGTGGCGTTGGCATGAAGGATGTGCACATTAATTCTGCCAAGAGGTTTTCTCCAATATTCACTTTGGTTAGGCATTTATCGAGGAAGTGTCAGTCGGCGTGTACTTGGACTGACGAGAGAGGCGCAGCAGTTCATTCACTAGTAAAATGTTATCTTGAATGCAGCGACCATTGAGAATATTGGTTTGGGATGGGTGCATTATGTGCTCCAGTGCCAGGGCCATCTGGTTGGCCAGCGCTTTAGATAACATTTTGTAAACCACGGTTAATGACGTAATAGGTCTATAGTTTCGTATATTCATGTTGTCCCCTTTTTCGTATAGAAGTGTGAGCACCCCTTGCCCCATGTAACATGCTGAGTCTGCACAAGGGCCCCATGTTGGGGGCCCGACGGTTGCTGGGGGCCCACAGGTGGCATGCCCCGCAAATGTGTGCCTTGGAGGCCCACGGCCGGCCTTATGGCTGCAGGTTTTGATTTGAGGCAGCATTTATTTATTTATTTATTTATTTGATGTCCTATTTTTGTTTGTTCAGGTGTCGTTTCGGATTTGCAGCTCGTCTGCAAGGCCACGTTTTTGGCCTGGTACGGACATAGGCAGGCCCTGTTGGGCCAGGTCCGATGTTGTCCAGTTGCGAACATTCCCTGCTGCATCAGCAGGGACGGCCTGGACGTTAGGCAGGGACCCAGGCAGGCCACGTTGTGGCGTAGGACACACCCGTGAGGCCCAGTGCTATTTATAGCTGGGCCAAGCCTGGGCAGACACGCAGTTCGAGCAGCTCATTTCTTGGGTGACATGCTGCTGGAGCAGCGCGACAGCGCTACGCTAGAGGTAGAGCATTAAGCAGGAAGTGAGGCAGAGGCCATACCTGTGTCGGCGGACATCTTACCTGGGCGCCATAGCTGGTCTTCGCTCCAGCGCTCTGCAGCACAGAGGAGACACGCGGCAGCAGGTAGTACAAGGCGGCAGTTACCTGCCGGTGAGATAGCAAGGAGGGCATCTTTTTCTTCTCACTTTAAA